TTCAGAAAGCCAAGAGACATATGAAAACATGCTCAAAGTCACTAATCATCCGAGAGATGCAAATCAAAACAACAATGAGGTACCATCTCACACCTGTCAGAATGGCCATCATCAACAAATCAACAAACGACAAGTGCTGGAGAGGATGTGGAGAAAAAGGAACACTTGTGCACTGCTGGTGGGAATGCAGACTGGTGCAGCCACTATGGAAGGCAGTATGGAGGTTCCTCAAAAAATTGGAAATGGAACTCCCATTTGACCCTGCGATCCCACTTCTAGGAATATATCCCAAGAAACCAGAAACACCAATCAGAAAGGATATATGCACCGCGATGTTCATAGCAGCACAATTCACCATAGCTAAGACCTGGAAACAGCCTAAGTGCCCATCAGTAGATAAATGGATTAGAAAACTGTGGTACATCTACACGATGGAATACTATGCTGCTGTTAAAAAGAAGGAACTCTTACCATTTGCAACAGCATGGATGGAACTGGAGAGCATTATGCTAAGTGAAACAAGCCAGTCAATGAAGGAAAAGTACCACATGATCTCACTCTTTCGTGGATAATTAAGACCATTACAAACTTTCGAACAATAATAAATACAGTGGCAGAGCTGCCTCAAACTGATTGTCGAACTGCAGTGGGAAGGCCAGAGAGGGTTGGGGGACAGGAGGGAGGGGAGTAAGAGATCAACCGAAGGACTTGTATGCATCCATATAACCATAACTAATGGACATAAGACACTGGGGGGTAAGGGAGGGCAGGGGCTTGTCAAGGGTGGGGGGGGTGGGAAGGACACTTATGTAATACCCTTTGTAATACTTTTAGCGAAAAATAAAAAAAATAAATAAATAAACTAAAGTTTAGGCAATGGAGGTGGGAAAAATGGGTATATTCAGGATATATTTTGACAGTAGATCTGATAGGACTTCATAAATGACTATATGTAAAAAAGAGGTGAGGAATCAATGTTGACTTTGAGGTGCCATTAAAACATTCAGATGAGGTCATTCCAAATGCAGATGAATACACAAATCTTGAGTTCAGGAGAGAGATCTGTGCTAGAGGTCTAGACTTAGAAGTCATTAGCATAGAGATAGAGTGGATGAGATCACCTATGGAGAATATGGAAAGGGGGATGGGTGGAGGTGGGAGAAGGCATAGAGGGGATAAATGGTGCTGGAAAAAAATAAAAATAAATAAAAACAAAAAAGTAAGTTTTGAAAATCAGTCAATCCATGAACAATTCCCCTTTCAAAAGGAGGCCCAATAAAAACATGGACTATTGTGAATGGGAAAAAAATACAAAGTAAAAAGTCTAGATTAAACCCTCAGTGGAATAATCAGATTTATAGAGGGGGCAGAAGAACTTTTAATAGAGACATAGCAGAATCATTTTGAGGGACAGGGAAAACTGGAGTGGTGTTCTAGAAAACAAGGGAGAAGATAGTTCTATGAAGGAGAGGGACAAGGCGAAATGACAGGGATATGATAATTGGATTTTAGGATAAGGAAATCATTGGTAATCTTAGTGAGAATATTTTCAGTAGAGGGTTAATGGCAGAAGCAAGACTGCAGAGGGTTGAGCAGTGAGTGGGAAAGGGAAGAAGTAGAGACATCAATATTAAATGGCTTGTTTAAGAATTTTGGCTGCAAAGAGAATGCTGTGGATAGGGTAATAGCTGGAAAGAGGAGAGGGAGGGCGGCTCAAAAAGAGTGATAAGTATTTGAAGTAGTCCCCTGGAGATGCTCACTAGGGAAATGTAGAACTTCCAAGCAGCACTGAAGGCCCAGTGGGATGCAGTCAGGATCAGGAATTGTGCCCCATTTAGCAATAAGAAAGCCAATACCTGGAAATGACTTGCACAGGGTCACAGCTGGAAAGTGACAGAGCTGAGATCCAAGCTAGATTTCCCTTCCTACCTCCTATCAAATGTTTATTGGCCCCTGCTCTCCACTGCTTTGCATCAACATTGGCATTGTCATATCCATCGTGGAGGAAGGAATACTATTGACTATCAACCATATGCCCAATACAGCAGAGGCACAACAGAAGTTTAATATATGATTTCCTCCCTCAAATTGTTTAGAGGTTGGTTGAGGAGATAAGATATTCAATAAATGCTTATACATATAAAATGGTGAAACTTTGTTTTTCTCTGTCTCTTTTTTTCTCTGTATCTCTCTCTTTGTCACCACTCTGGGTGTTCAAATGCACTGTGTAAGGCACTTGAGATACAGAAATGAATAAGATCCAGTCCTTGACTTTAAATAGTTTACAGACTAGTGGGGAAAGAATAAGGATTTCTATAGTTTCCTCGTCTGTACATTGGGGATTTGGGTACCACAAAGCATTATTGTGTATTAAATGAGTTAACATTTGTGAAAGTGCTTTATAATGGTCACATAGGAAACACTATATAAGTGTTACTGTTCTTATTATTATTACTATGGTGGAGGTAAGTAAACACAAGATATTGTAAGAACATAGAGGAGGGGCACTTGAACCTGGCTAAAGTAAGGGATATCTGAGCTGAGTCCTAAAGCATGAGAAGGCGCTGAACAGAGGGAGAAGAATGCCAGGCATTCTGCATAGAAGGAACAACCAATGCTCAGGTTTGTAAGCAAAAGATAACATGATCTGATTAAGGAACTGAAAGTACTTTAGTTTAGTCAAAGCATAGAGTATGAAGAGGGAAACGACAAGAGATGAAGCTTGAGAGGTCATAGAATACAAACAAGTTTGGACTTTATTCTTTAGCTGGTGGGAGCCACTGGAATGTTTTATGTAGAGTAGTGACTTGATCAGATTAATATGTTGAAAGCTCACCTTAGCAACAGCGTGGAGAATGAATTGGAGGAGGCAAGATTGGAAGTAAGACCAGTTAGGAAGTCATTATTATAGTCCAGAGGAAAGAGGATGAAGCAGCTCTGAACTAGGGAAGTAGCAGTGGGGATGGAGAGACGGGTGCTATGGATTTGAGGTATAGTCATGAGGTAGAATTGGTGAGACAGTAACCACAGAGAATGAGGGATAAGTGTAAGAGAGGTATCAAGAATCACTCCCAGGATTTTGATCCGGCACAAGGGGATCGATAGAGATATCACTCAGTGTCATTCAGGAACCCAGGGAATACCTGCTTATGGAGGGGTGCGATGGGAGAAGTGACTACCATATTTTTCCATGTATAAGATGCTATTTTTTTCTAAAATAGTTAGACTGAAAATTGAGGGGCATCTTATACACGGAAGTCAGCGGAGGAGGGAGCCATGTGGGTGCATAGCTGCCCATACCTTGTCAAACTGGTTTCCTCCAATCATGAGCCTTATTGTTACTGATGTCAGCTGATGCCATAATTGTAGGTGGAGATGGAGAGTATGCAGATGCAACAGAGACCAGAGCATTCTGGGCCCACAAAGATGTCAAAAAATAAAAAAATATAAATACTAATAAGCGATTGTCTTACTCTGCAAAATTCAAACTGTAATCAGCTATACAAAAGAGCATGGAAACAGAGCTGCAGAGAGACAACTTGGACCTCCTCCCACTGAGTGCATGATCAGACAGTGGGGAAAACAGGGAGAACAACTCCTTAAGATGCCAAAAAAGAAGAAGACCTTAAGAGGAAAACCAGCAAAATGTTTAAAATATTGATTTCTTAATTTTGAGTTGGGAAAGTGAGAGGCATCTTATACATGGGGGCATCTTATACACAGAAAAGTACGATATTTCTCACTTAAGCACATTGAATTTGAGGTGCCTATGAGATTTTCAAGTGATTTTAAATAGGTAATTGCTTTGGCAGTCTTGAAGCTCAGGAGGAAGGTTTATGCTGGAAATACAGATCTGGGAATGCCAGTGGATGGGTGTGAGATTAAGTCATGAGAGTGCATAGATGTACTCAGGGATAGAGTGTTAATTGAGAAAAAGGATGGACTTCTGAGGAAAACTCACATTTAAGAGATGGGTAAGGTAAGAGAAATTTTGAGGAATGCTAAAATGAAATAGCCAGATTATGCTGGGTTGGAAAGTTAATGGGTTGGAGGATCTTGTAGAAGATGGGAGGAAGGATGTGCCCTTTACCCTTAGTGTCTTGAACCTTGGCAAGATTAGGGGCTCCTTCAACACTGCAAAATCCTGGACAGCTCTGAGATTCCAAAGGATTGGCTTATATGTTTTCCCCTTACAAAGTCCTCTGTTTTGCTTCCCTTTCCTCTGTTCACCCTAACAGAGAGCCCAAGGAATTTCAGGGCTCCATCCAGGCCCTGGAACAACCTTTGCTCCAGAGTCCCCCCACATCATCTGAGAGGTCTAGGGCTGATGTGGCCATCTATTAGGAAATCAGATGGAAAATGTCTGGGTGTATTATATATGCAGGCTTTAGGCTATCCTGTGGAGGAGGATTTGGGCAGGTCCTAGAGAACCTGAACTCTCAAAGTATAGACAAAAGACTTTGTTGCCTGCCCCAACCTGCCCTGGAGTAGATTTTCACCATGGGCAGGATGACCCAGAGCTAAACCACTGCTTTCTAGGCCCTTGAAGATTCAAGAGGCCTCTAATAACTTGGAGTCCAAGGCTATATCTTAGGACCTGTTATTCCTGGTCCAGTCTCCTGGAGTTTGGCCTCAGTCTGCAATTGAGGGGCCCTGTGTCACTGTTGCTGGGCAATGTGTTAAACAGAAGGCCTTGGAGACAGAACCACGCCAGCCAACAGCCTAACGTGGAGTTAACACAGCCACCACAACTGCCACTGCCATCATCACCTTCTCGAAAGTGGCCACCTGTCTGGCCCCTAATTCTGTCTGGCTGCCAACCTAAGGCATGTGCCTACGCAGGAGGTGATGACATTTTGGCTCCACTTTCAGTTTTTTTTTCCTTTCTCGTGTGTTATTTCTAAAGATAACAAAGTTCAAAAGGCACCCGGTATTTTCTGGTTTCTCATAAGCTTCTGGTCAATATTTAATCTGGTTTATGGATTTTTTTTTAGGTCTTCTAGATGCCTTCTTGAGCCTGATTGTGGCCACCCACAGACACTTGTAAGGAGAAGAGAAGTCAGCATAGCAGAGACTCTCTGAAATTAGGAAATAGAGGCTGGGATCCAAGGAGCAAGAGCTGCAGCCAGAACACAAGAAGGCAAGCCCTGAAGACACTTCTATTGAGAGGTCTGCCATGGCCTCTCTTGGCATCCAACTTATAGGCTATATCCTGGGCCTTCTGGGACTGTTAGGCACCCTGGTGGCCATGCTGCTCCCCAGCTGGCGAACAAGTTCTTATGTCGGTGCTAGCATTGTGACGGCAGTCGGCTTCTCCAAGGGCCTCTGGATGGAGTGTGCCACACACAGCACAGGCATCACCCAGTGTGACATCTACAGCACTCTTCTAGGCCTGCCCCCTGACATCCAGGCTGCCCAGGCCATGATGGTGACGTCCAGTGTAATCTCCTCGTTGGCCTGCATTATCTCTGTGGTGGGCATGAGATGCACAGTCTTCTGCCAGGATTCCCGAGCCAAGGACAGAGTGGCGATAGTGGGTGGAGTCTTCTTCATCCTTGGAGGCCTCCTGAGCTTCATCCCTGTTGCTTGGAATCTTCATGGGATCTTGCGGGACTTCTACTCCCCACTGGTGCCTGACAGCATGAAATTTGAAATCGGAGAGGCCCTTTACTTGGGCATTATTTCCTCCCTGTTTTCCCTGGTAGCTGGAGTCATCCTCTCCTTTTCCTGCTCACCCCAGGGAAATCGCCCCAACTACTATGATGCCTACCAGGCCCAGCCCCTCGCCACTAGGAGCTCTCCAACATCTGGTCAACCGCCCAAAGTCAAGAATGAGTTTAACTCCTACAGCCTGACAGGGTATGTGTGAAGAACCAGGGGCTAGAGCTGGGGGTGGTGGTGGCTGGGTCTGTAAAAAACAGTGGACAGCCCCCCCACAGGACCACAGGTGAGAGACATTGCTGCTGGATCATGTCAGAAGGTGGTGCTGAGGATAGACTGACTTTGGCCATGGGATCAAGAGAATGCAAAAATGAATGCTGGTGTGACAGTGTCCAGGTTGAACTGTCAATATGCTTACCAAGCCAGTCTTTCTGTTTCCTTCACCTTAGTTCCCAACCCTACACCCTGAATCCCCCAACTCTCAACTCCAAATCCACCCCTTACTCTAGGCCAGACTCCACAGATCCAATCTGCCTTTTGGTTTACCTGGCAATCCATTCATAAACCCACTGATCGCATCCCACGGACTGACCCTCTGGCTGAGGTTGACTCTCAGCTCATTGCTGGGGGTTGAGGAAAGAAAGAGTGGTGGCTTTTATGAAGATGGTTCAAATCCTCCTCCTCAAGCTTCCCTCCAAATAAACTGACTGGCCACTAATGGGCCCTGGAGAGTCCATCCCACTCTTGTTATGACTTACAGAGTTCAGACTGATTTGTGCATGAACAGAAATAGAGCCATCACACTGTACAGAGGGAACAGAGAACAACTGGATGCAGGATGACAGGGAAGGAAGGTAGCTGAGGACCCAAAAGACCAGAGCCACTGCCCAGAGAAATTCCAGAATTTCCTCACACTTGTGGGTTAGGGATCTAGCCCACAGCTAGAGGAAAACAAGGAGAGAAGATATGAAGTAAAACTCCACTCCAGGCAGCAGCAGACTCTTACTCCATTGAGGAACTGCCTCAGAAGCTGCAGCTCCAACTTTCACTGAAGTTTCTGCCTCCCTCTGAGGCACCTGACCTGGCCTCCTGCTAAATAACAAGGCTAAGGGCCCCACACAATGGTTTCCTTAGAAATGGGAAAGTAATTTTTCTAGAGATGGCCCTTGACTGGAAGATGAGAGTGTGGGAGCTGTGGGGGACTGTGAAAGAGATCTTTCCTTGACACTGGTGCCCAAGAAAGAATAAGAACTTTGATATCTAAGAAGCTAAGTAGACATGTGTGCTTCTCCAGTAGATGTTTCTATTGGGCCAGAGAGAGTCAGCCTCCCAGAGAGTCTTCAAACCTAATAGAAAATCAGCCCAAAGGCTGAGATCAGACCCTCGGGGGTCTAACCATAGAGCACACTACAGAGACTGAAAGACCACAGCACAAGGTGGGCCTCATGCTGTCCTTCATATTCCCCCAGCATTGTTTACCAGATAGTCCTGAGCTGCCAGAATGCATCCAAGGGCTTCAGCGTAGAATAATCAGGCCCAAGGTGTTAGGACCCTGATCTAAGTGATAGCTGAGCTGCTGCCTGGGATTTCAGGTGAGGTGAGAAAGTACAGAATAGTTCCCAAGCAGACAGTTCCAGCTCCAAGACCTGAAAATGCTCCATTTCCCCTGGGGTAGGGGTGGAGGTGTGAGTCATAAACCAAAGGCATTTTTACTCAAAACTTCTGAAGAACCCCAGTACACCTCCCCAAACCTCAGTGCCGGCAGAAAGGGCCCATTCATTGTATCTAGCATGCCTTGCATGTTTTCCACTTCCTTGCCTATGTTGAAGCTGTTCTTCCAAACTGGAAAGCCCTATCCCTTTTGCCAAGTTTTCCTCATGCTTGAACCACTTGCTCAGCACCATCTCCTTCATTGAGCCTCTTCTGACCACTCCGTCCCTTTCTTCCCCTCCTTCAATGTACAATTCACTTCTTTGATGCTTATCATTCACAATTTTGATGCATAGTTATATTTTTATGTTTGTATATCTGATTTCACAAGTACATTGTAAACTTTTGGAGGGTAGGGGCCATATCTTAGACATCTATGTATCCTCCAGACTTACAGATAAAGACTATCTGTAAGAGTGCTTGGCAAATAGTAGATGATCAATAAACATTTGTTGATTGAATAACTGTTTTATTCTTTCAAAGTGGCCCATACAGGGCAGGTGTGATGGAGAGAATTGGGCTAAGGGGAGGGTAAGATGGAAACTGGCCTTTATTCCCTCTGGCTGGATAGCAAAATTCTAGACTTTTATGAAGATATTATGAAAGTAAAACCCCTCCTCCCCAGGAAAACTTTAATCTTTTCATCTTGCCCAGGGGTCCTCCTTTTCACAATAATTGTTTCATTTAAGTTATTTACTAAATTTGCTATGTGTTTATTCCTTTCATTCTCTGAGTAACCATTGTGAGGAAAGTGAAATAGATCTGATAATCTCCATTTTCCAGATGGAGAAACTAAGGTCCACATAAGTAAAGAAATTTTCCTAGGGTTACACAGATGGTTTTAGTGCTCCAGTCTCCTGACTCCCAAAATAGGACTCTGCTGATTCAATAATGTTCACAGCCAATAGGAAGAGCCTGACAGTGGTCCCCAAGCTGCCTGAGGAAAATAACTTATGGCCAACAAGGTAACATTGGGAACACATAGGCTCTCCTGGTCTCCTCTGAGGGGGATCTGGGAGAGCAGGACAAATTCACTGAGTATACCAGCTGGCCAACCTGGGCTTGGCTAACTGTCCCATCAGAGGAAATGCCAAGCTTATATTTGAATAAGTCACAACATCTCAGTTCCAATTACCCTAACTCTAGAGGTATCGGATTTTGGGAAGCCAACAATTTGGCTTTGTTTCAACTTCTTTTGGAATTAACAAAGCCTAACTAATGAAGATGTTAACTATGGCAACACTGACCATATGGGGCCCTACAAGATTCAGCTTACCCAGCCCTTGGACCTAGTGGGCCTCAGTACACAGGAACCTGTTATAATGGGCACTACTATTATCATTACACTCCTGAAGTGAGCCATCTTTGGTGCAGAGGCTAGGACTCCAGCATCCAAGCCCAGTTAGAAGGAATGGCAGCAGGCAGGAATAAAGGTGGAGAGAGAGGGCTTGATGAACAGAAGTTTAATAAGAAGTAATGTCTCTGGTCTGGAACCGGGAACCCAAGTGCTCTCAACTGGGGCCACTGAAGGTTAGAAGATGGGTTGTCTTGCTGACTCTGCTATGCTGAGTGGACACCAGTTTGGTATGGGCTCCAATGCCCCACCACCTGGCAACCAAAACACTTTCAGATCCATCAATTTATTACATGCTCTAAATAACCCAATGAAATGGATCTTCTGCAGGAAATAAAATGGAGGCTGAGAGAGGTAATTTCCCTAAAGTCATAGAGTGTCAGAGTCTGAACATAAGCTTGGAAACCCTTCCCACAGGGTCTGCGATTATGATAAGAACACCTGTTGCTCTTTAGATTCCTGCAGCCCTCCTGCCCCTGTCTGCTACTGTAATCTAAGGGCCTTTGAGGAAAACAGAGCACAAACCTTCCCTTCATCTTAAGATAAGGCTGACCTGGAGGTTCTTCTCCCCCCCCCCTTTTTTAAAATAAGAATTTACTTGAGCTAAACTGATGACATATGCAGGGAACAAAATCTCAAGTGTTCTTCCTGCTCCTTTTAATTTGGGAAGGTTCTATGGAAGGAGTTAGAAATTCATCCTCAACTAAGGAAAGCAGAGAAGAGCCAACAAAGAGCAACCGGTTGAGCAATAAAAGCCTTGATCTAAATAATTTCCTAGAAATCCCTTTGAGTCTGGGTCCATGTGGAATAGCTTTCAGTTAACCCCATTGCCTTTCATCATAAAGTAATTTAGATTAGCCATAGACCAAGGGGATAGTGAAGGCTGTTGTGTTTATGCTTCAGACTCATGGCTCTGACCCTTGCACAAGGAGAGATGTTTCTGCCCTCCCTCATTCCTCTGATAATATGGTGACTCATGCCCCCCCTCCCGGGGCCCTGGTGTCCCACTGCTATGTGATCACTAATGGGGTAGTGGAAGCTAAAACTGGCTTCTTGGTGGGAAGGCAATTTCCAACTTTCTGTGAGACCTTTACCCAGTCAGTTAAACAACCATTCAACCAACTCTCTAGCCATCCAGCCCACACCAACTGCACTCCTAGTCTGTGTCAGGCAATGTCTGCTTTGAGGACTACAAAGGTGAATAAAGAAAGATAAGTCATGCACACCAAAGTGTGGTTGAAGGCACAATATAGTCTGTCCTGTGAGAAGGGAAAATTGCCGTAAATTGGGATGTCAGGGGCTAGTTTTAAAAGGTATGTAAGTCCCCTCAAGTCCCAATTAATATGAAATGAGGCCCTGGCACTACTTAAGCTTCTGGGGGAAGAATGATGAAAAGAAACTGCTTCTCTAGCTGAAGGCCCATAGGAAATAGATAGGGTGCAGTGCTAAGGAAGAAACAAGGGGACTCTACTCAACTAACCCAGAACACCTTTTTTTAAAAGTTTTTTAAAATATATTTTATTGATTTTTTACAGAGAGGAAGGGAGAGGTATAGAGAGTTAGAAACATCGATCAGTTGCCTCCTGCACACTCCCTACTGGGGATGTGCCCGCAACCAAGGTACATGCCCTTGACTGGAATCGAACCTGGGACCCTTGAGTCTGCAGCCCAATGCTCTATCCACTGAGCCAAACCGGTTAGGGCAACCCAGAACACCTTTGAGTTTACCTCACAAGAACCCCAAACAGCTCTAATGCAGACAGTGACTCTGGGGCTCAGCCTCTTCTCCCTCAGTTCCTTCTCTTGGGAAGGTCTATGGTATTGCTGGGGGCAGCAGAGATAGTGACCATCCAAGTAACCTGAGACCTTTTGGCTCTGGACCAGAGGAGAAACACAGGTGTGGGAAAAGGGCACAGTTGTAAAGGAAGGCAAATGAGGCCTTGCAGAGTCAACAGTTTCTTCCCATTCAGCCCAGGGCCATGGACAGATCATTTTTTTCATGCCTTCAGCTGCCCACTGGGACATAGAGGCCCCAGGCTGGGAAGTGCCTGTGCTCCTCCTCAGTTGGCTGAAGCCTGGCCTTCACCCAGCCTGGTCTCCCTTCCCAGGCGGCTCCTAACTTTGATGAGAAATTCTGTTATCTTAATGGGGGTTGAGGGGGAAGACTCAAACAGGAAGTCCCCGGAAGTGGTGGCTTGCTGCGTGCTATGAGGTGATCACTGATAAAATATTAACAGGCTGTTATCAGGCACAGCAATACAGAAGCTGTAATCTGATCACCCCCCTCCACCTCACACAACTTACCAGTTTCCTGGAAATTGCAGCTCAGGAATTCCTCCTTAACTCTTGCCTACAGGTTTCTGCTCTGGGCCTAATTTCTCCACGACTTCACAAAGCAGAAAATCACTGTACAA